ACACAGTCGCGCCACTGAAAACACCTCGTGCGGACCACTGCACGTGCGCAAAAATAACAAAACAAAATGAATCAAATAAATCTGTGGTGGCCCGTAAGCAGAAATACCTACCTACCTAAATCAAATAGCTACCACGAATAGCTCGGTAGCTGCTTCGGTATGTCCGTTCCGAGCTATGTGCGATTTTCTTGTCGAATCGTGTTCAGTTTGCGGGATCTGCAGCTAAGCACAACACCACTGTCGATCCGATACAGTTTGAGTGCCGCTGTGTTGACGTCATCACAAAAATCACGACGGTGACAAAGCTATAAAACCAACCAGCCTGGTTCCATCCAGCACACGAAACCGTGCCCAACAACTCACCAGCGAACATTCCAACACCCTCCTTGCCACTGTACGGGCGTTTGATTAAGCTGTTTGGAGCTGCCATTAATCAGAGTTACCTGACTCGGTAGACAGTCGGAGACTCGGAGTGATACTGGACGGCCGTTTGAGCTCCATATAGACGAGTATACATGTTCGATATTCGGATTACGTGGGACATTCGAGGCCGGCTATGCCGTGCCTGTTTCACGTTCGAGCTATTTGCTTCGGCGATGTAAGCTGCTCGGAAAGGAGTTAACAGTGGTTTGAAAGCAGAATCGGTCGCTTATCATTCGTCAGGGTTCAACTAATGCGCCCAGTCGCACCGATAAAGGACCAAATGGCTTTGGGTGACCAATCACTAAAGAGAGACTAGCCAGCGATGGTCCCAACATTTTACATCAATAGCTGCGAAAAAAAAAAACTGTTCCTAGCCAGTAGCGGCGGAACACCTTCAATTAAGGGGGGCAGTGCCGACTTTTGGTCCCATTTTTTCCATGCAACGCCCATAGGGCTGATGTTAAAATGCCAAAATCAAAGGGGGCACGGTGCCCCGGTGCCCCCCCCCGTTCCGCCCCCTATGTTCCTAGCCAGCATCTACGTGATCTGTGATTCAGCTCATTGACACGAAAACAAGCACAGACTCAAGACCCTTCAATGAGCTTAGCCTAAAATGGACAGCTGCTCATAGAATGCTCTCATAAGATGCCCTGAGAATCATCATCAGTGCCGTGACGATTGTCATTCATGCTTGTCAGGTCACCAGGCCAAGCGGCGCGCTGAAAGGCATGCCAGGCGCTTGCTAGAAACAAGTTAGCCAAATGAGCTGGTTTTGTGTCAGTGAAAGGCAGAGTGGTGAGCCTAAAATGGAAAAAGCCAGCCTCACAGGCTATATGACCCACAGATTGACCCATAAGAGGACTAAAGAAATGTTGTGTGCGTGATTTCCCTTTTTAGATCTCCTCTCGTCGTCCATTTTTTCAAACACCTGTTCCCTCCTTCGATTAGAGCTAATTCAGGATCTTGATAGTGCCAAAAATGTAACAGCACACAATCAGAGCCCTTCTCTCCCTTCTCCTTCTCCCTTCCTTCTCCCCTTCTCCCCGGAGCTATCTTTGGGTAACACTCGGCCATTCAAGTAGCCTAAGTAATCTACCTAACACGGAGCGCCACCAACCAGGTGAAAATCCAAAATACCGCCAGCTCGTCTAAAACCATCCCCGGGCACTCACATCCCGGTAAAACCTCTGCGGACCCTCCTAATGGCCCATTGACGTGAGCCAGCCGGCCACTAGGCCAGACTGGACCACGAATCCACCGGCAGGGGTCCGAAATAGCTCGCCCCACCCCCGTCTCCGTCCGCTGATCACAGGGTGCACGAAACTGACGACCAGACATGGAAACAGACGTGATGACGTCACACGCTCCCCCCCCCCCCGCCTCAGAGGCAGGCCGCTAGCTGACATCTGCTTCCTCCACACAAAAATATCCACTGCAACCACAGGAAGCAGAGCAAAAACATTTAAAGGGGGTGCGCTGCGCGGAGGCGCCCCACAAAACAGGGCAGGCACGGCAGCGCCGCCTAGCGGCAGAAAACTAAACTAGCCATCGCAGTGAGGGGCACGGATCATCTGCGCGGCTGCGGCGAGCCATTGGCTGCGCGGGGGCGGCGCGGCAGCTCATTGGCGGCACGTGGCAGGTGCCAGCACCGGAAACTGGCCGCCGCTGTCGGCGCTGCCGCCGGCGCCGACGGCCCAGGCCGTCAGCTGAGCGATGGGGCCGTCTGGTGACCTCGACGGACCGACGGTACTGGGTCGGGGCGACGGGGTAGAGCAAGCTGGGTCGGGGCGATGGGCAGAGCGAGGTGGGTCGGGGCGACGGGGGCAAATCGTGCTAGGTCGACGGCACGGCAGGGGCAGAGCGTGCTGCGTCGGGGAGACGGGCAAGACGAGGTAGATCGGGGCGGCGGGGCAGGGATAGAGTCGGAATGACTGGGCAACGCGTGCTGGGTCAGGCAACAGGGTAAAGAGTTCTAGACAGGAGAGACGAGGCATGGGCCAGGCCGGAGAGATGAGCAGATCAGTCAGTGTGGCAGGGCAGAACATTTTTCAACATTTAGCATGACAAGTCAAAGGTGAGAGGATGCCATACATAATTACGGATGTGAGGTAACGGTGACAGCCACTGAACCAAGTAGACTGAAGATGATTTTACAGCTGATATGTGAGAGGTTTATTTTCCGTGAGCTCATCCGTGAGATCGACTGGACGATGGCGGGGCAAAATTAGATTTTGTCTCTGGGCCAATCGAGCAGGAGTTCACCGACTGATCGAAAGCATCGCCGATAGATGGGCCCAGAAATGTGGTATTCGACGCTGAGGTCATGCATACCACACACACCCAAAAATCCCTCCAATTTGAAACTCCTCGCATTTTTAATTCATGCTATGTTCTTAATCACAAGAACAGCATTTCCTTACATCTTTGTTTAAAAAAAAAAAAAAACATTTCAGCACAGCACCCGGCTAACAAACCGGCAGTGGCGGCGGAACACCTTCAATTAAGGGGGGGGGGCACTGCCGACTTTTGGTACCATTCTTTCCATGCAACGCCCATAGGGCTAATGTTAAAAGGTCCAAATCAAAGGGGGACGATACCCCGGTGCCCCCCCCCCCCGTTCCGCCGCCTATGCAAACCGGCAAAGTTAAAACAGCTTCGGGAGCTGCGGCGGACATAAGCCCCAAACGTCTCATCCCTTTGGACCCGTCAATGGACGATAGCAATCACAGAAAATTAAAACCAGGTCATCGTCTGGGTCACGACCATGTCAGTTAACAGGTCACTGTGCGTCATATTGTAGGAAGGTCACCAAATCACCACACCACCTTAGGAAACGCCACCGTAGGACAGAGCGTGGGCCGAAACGTGAGCTAGGTCGGGAGAATAAACCGATATCCGAGCTGGTAAATCCATGACTTATCCAGAACTAAGCAGAGCGACTCATTCCGCTGTGAGTCATACGCTTGGGATGAAAATCCAACAGTATGTTGCGCGATGAGTCAGACGCTAGTCACAACTCACAGATCCTCTGTTTTCGAGTCCGTGAAGCTGTCTCCGTCCAAACACCTCCACTTGTCAACAATTCCAGGAACTACAGACTCGGTATCGGGAATCAACATTCGGCAGACAATAAATTGAAAGCAGAATGACTCAGTGTGGCAAAGATAAGCAGGACGCGGGCGGTTTGGTCAGTGTGTCTCAGCCAATAAAACTGCCGAGTGGCACGTAAATACTGAGAACCAGAATCTAAACAAAACAAACAACTCAATGTAGAAAGCATGAACTTCTCAAACAGACCAATGGCTGACCGCTTCGTTATAAAAGTTGAACGCTCTCAATGCGCTTCGATCCTTTGTTCGGGTCAATCGAGCGAACAAAAAGCAATGGTCATCCCAGCATACTGCGCGCATTATGGAAGGCTTAACTTCACCAAAGTGGTTGGAAAAGTGCTATGTTTGGACAATGGACACCTTTGTTTGTGGTATAAACGGCCCGGCAAAAACTTGCCAACATTTTCGATGCTGATAAACATTAGTTATCACCTAAGGAAGCCTACCACCCAATACCCAACCGTTTGCCTGTCTTCTTCCTTCCATTTTCCATAATTGATTAAACCCATCCCATCCTCGTCAGAAACGAGAGCAAAATAACAATAGTCACACAACGAAACCAGTCTAAGCGGAGAAAACCGATGTCACCATGCTTCCATGGCACAAACTCCATCATCCTCCCGTTATTATACCCAACAAGACCCCTCCCCCCCCCCCCACCCCTCAATCCATAGCGCACGCGCCCTGCCCTGCGCCACGTCCGCCTCCAGTGCGCCAGAGGCGCCGCAGGTGCGCCGGGGCAAGACGTACACGGCGCGGTGCGGCGGACGCGCCGCCTTCATTTACGGGACAAATTATCGACTATTGGAAGCATTGACCGACCGGGCCCGGTGGCGGCGAAGCCAGGTGAGGCTGCGCCGTCAACCATGACGTCATGCTCGGCCAGTGACGTCACGGTTGGTCGCGGGCGCAGAACAGACCACATCCTCCCGGTCGGCGGGAAGGAGCGACAGCAGAGACACCTAGTGGCTGGTGTTGAAACTGAGGTTCGCCGATTGGACGTTTGGTGGCAGGAGTGTATGGATTTGGAGCGTTTTAGGGCTTGGGAATACCATCCTCGAGCTCTGCCCGTTAGAGTTGCTGCAGCTAAGAGTGACATGGAATATATCAAGAGTTTCGAGCAGTCAACTAAGAATTACATAATCTCCAAATACAACCAGTGTTCATCCCAATCAAGACAAATGAGCATCAGTCTCAATGAAATCCACTTCACATTCACATCAAGTGCAGATTTCTTTTGCAAGCCAAGTTGCAAGGCATGATTTGACTAGTGTAATCAAAACCATCATTGGCTCCTCTACACAGAAGTGCAGCTTAACTACAGTGCCAGCTCTGTGGATGATACACCCACCACCAGTGACCAGTGACCTGTCTCACTCACTGATTGATAGAATATCTGCCCAGGTGGCATGGTCATGCTATGTGGTCTGTGGGGGACTGGCTGGTGCATAACTATCCCAGACTCACCTGGAGAGTTCCAGCAGCTCCAGACTCCAGATCCTGGGCATGCAGGAGATCCTGAGCATCCCGCTGCACCCACTGCGCAGCCACACCCTCCATCTGAAATGAGACAGACCAATGTTGAAATACCAATGAAACAGATAAATGATAGGCCCATATTAGGCAGACTATCTGGGTTTCATTCAAAGGTCTGTGGCCATCTCTGCTGTAGCATCACCTTGCATAGTGTCACAAATTATTGACAGTATTGGTATAATGGAAAAATGCCTATTTACTGTTGTAAAGCTTAGCAGGATGTCAGCAACTTTGAATAGAGACATAAGCATTTACAATTAGGGAATACAGTAGAACATAAGTAAGGTGACGTAAAAAGAGAAGATGGAAAGAGAAAATCAAAATGAAAAATTGACATTTGACTGAACTAGCAGGTCAGCTCTAACTAGTCATGCAGAATAGCAAAGCTCGAGAACTTGGAATCACCACAATCTGTCTGAATAAGGAACTCACCAAAAACATTGCAGGTGGCAGTATCATAACTTGAACTACAATCTAGCTTTTCCCCAGCATGGTGTTTCTTTCCCATAGACATAAGCCTTGTAGAATCACGAACGGCATAATAATGTCATGAACACTTGGCATGGACTTATGTCATATTAAAATTGCAGCTGATCCACTATAATCGTTAAAGTTCATAAATGTCCCCGCTCCACGGTGTTCACTGTTCATAGGCTGAAATCTCAATTCCCAAGACTCGTTGGAATGGCGAGTGCTTCAGTTCAGGGCGTTTGACACCGGAATGTATACACGGCACTGCAAGTATCACCAGCACAAACTCGCTATCAGCGATATTGCACAAAGTCAATCACAATCCTCGATCTCACAATCAACACACAAACAGTGGGCGGCAACCCGCGAAACACACGCGCGGTACAAAACCACAACAAATCGTTTACGACGGTCCGCCACTTTTGTATATTGCGGCATTTCTAGTCTACATTACTACCAAATGCTACCAAATGAATGATACCATGAACTGTGAAGGGACGTAATTTCTCGTGCTCAGAAAAAAAAAATACACTCACTTACATGGGTGTCGATTTGTATACCTTTGGGGGTGCTGCAGCACCCCCAATGGTTTTCGGGGCACCCCCAAATGTTCCAGTTAGCACCCCCAATGATTTTTCCCTCAATAACTCCCACTAACTCTGCTTGAGGAACATAATTGGTTCCGCAGTATTTCACTGCTAAAAACAAAACAATTACGCAATTTACAATGCATGAAAAAAGATGTAAAGAAAAGCAATGTTAGTCTTAAGAAGAAGGGCGAAAAACACGTTAAGTTGCAAAGACACTGGTGTGGGTCCGTCGTAGACGGGTGTCAGACTCGGACCCTTTGAGCGCCAAGCCGGCAGGGGGCTCAAGAGACCAGCGACGGGCCCTCAGAGCCAGAGGCCGGCAAAGGGCTACCAGAGGCCGGTGGTAAGTACCTTCATTGGGGTCGTCTTTAGAGACCGGCACGGACTCAGACGCCGATGGGGCCCTCAGAGTCGCCGGTGTGGGGCCTTCACAAGTCACCGGTGGGTGGCCGTCATATGCACACTGGTGGGGCCTTCAGAAGCGACGGCGTTGGGCCCTCAGAGCCGCCGATATAGGGCCTTAAGAGGCACTAGTGTGGGGCCCTCAGATATGGCAATGTGGAACCCTCGGAGGAGCCGGTGTAGGGGCTTCACAGTCGCCGGTGATAGCCCTCACAGGCGCCGTTGTGGGGGCTCTCAGAGACACTGGTTTAGGGCCATCACAGGCACGCGTGGGGCCCTCAGAACTGCTGTTACGGAACGGACCCTTCATAGGCCGACAAGAAGATATCAAGAGGTCCCCCGGTGCCTTCAGGAGCCAGAGACCGGCATGGTGCTCTCAGACGCCGCTGGGACCCTCCGAGTCACCTGTGTGGGGCCGTCGGGGTCGCTGGTAGCTGGCTGGTAACTGACAAGGACCCTCAGAACCGCCAATGTAGGGTTTTTTAAAGGCATTGGTGTAGGGCCTCAGAGTTAGGGGTGTGGGGCCCTCAGAGACGCCGCTGTGGCTCTCAGGGGCGCCGGTGAGGGCCCTCACAGTCGCCGCTATAAAGTCCCTCAGAGAAGTGGGTGTGGGCCTGGGGCTATTACAGGCGGATGTGGAGCTCTTAAAGCTGGCCCCCTAACCCAGCCAGCAATTTGGTTCGGCGCAATTCCGTTTTGCCCCGGCAACTCTGACATGCCAGACCTGGGCCGGTGTAAACGGGACGGTGTCAGAGCCGGGGTTTGGGTCGATATGGCTCTATTCCTGTTAGCCAGTCTTTGCCGTAGCGCTCCCGGGTTGGTATGGTTTCGGACCGCCAAGTCTGGCTCAACTCCGTCCGGCTCCCCTACGGCCAGGTCCGGCTGCCGCATAGCTGCTCTGGCTTACTGTGGCTGAAGTACGGTTAAGGTACGGCACGGCTGATGCGGCATAAGTCCGGCTGTGGTGCTGGCGAGCTCCGGGATCGTGTGTCAGCTCTAGAGCCCCAGACCTTGCCCGTACTTTAGCCGGAGCAAATGCCGGAGCTAGCCAGACTAAAGCTACGGCCCAGACCAAATTTGCTGGCTGAGAATAGGCCGGTTAGGACCCCCAGAGGCCGGCAAGTGGCCCTCCGAGGCCGGTAAGTCAGTGTTGGTACTTATGGGCCCATGAGATGTTATTACGAGTCATGTGGAGCCCTTCTGAGTCCAAATATGGCCAGCATGGACCCTCAGCGGCCAATTGGCGCCGCAGGGCCCATCAGCCCCAAATAACCCGAGGGCCCCTGAACCTGATGGGGGGGAGGGGGCACGTGCCTCACGGACCCACCTGGCTACACCACTGAGAAAAATAGTAAACACGTAAATATCGAAATGCGATCACCTGTCAATTTTTAGCGACTATTGTGATCGTCTGACTCTTGCCAGAGCCTCGTAGCTACCGCTGCCTCCGCGCAATGTCCGCTCCTGCGGGCCGCAAGGGCTGCTGCAACGGTGCTAATCGCCGTCATCGGTTTCTGTCACCATATTACACAGGTGCCGGGGCTGTTGTCGAGCTGCCGGCAAATACATATGCGACTTTTTCGGAAAGATGCTTATGTAATAAGGTAGCCAAGTACTAGGACGAGCAGAATGATTTTCAAGAAGTATGTTCTACCTTTAGGAAATATTAGTGGAAATCCCGGGATTATCAGTACCGTATATAGGGATACCCAACCCTGCCTTGCACGGTTAAGTGCCCCATGCCAAAGCTGCAATCTTTCACCCGGTGCAGGGGTTGAGCACCCCCGCACCCCCAACCATTTTGAAAAATCGACACCCCTGCTCACTTAATATTTCTTTTCTCATAAGTCTGTGATGAAAATGCCCGCATAAAGCATATTCTAGTAAATTAACCCCGTGATTGTTCGCCTGTATCTTATCAAGCTCACTCATCAGCCCCCCGGGCCCCGACGGAGGTTGCCGACCTGAACGAGGGCTGCCGCCGAGCCACCACCGCAGCGCGCAGAGCGAGTGACGCAGGACGCCGCCCTCCCTGAGTCGATGCCGCAACGGACCCACGAGAACGACCACCGTGAGCTGCAGGAAGGCAGCGTGCGTTTTCTAGAAAAAGGGCATGCCAGCAGACTCTTCCGAACGGCGAACAGGAGCACCCGTGCGAGCTCGCGTGTTGGAGGATAACCATTCACTTTGCTTAGCTGACCCTGCCGGCGACCACCGGCGACTACGCGTACCGGCTCGTGGGCATCCGGCAATCGGCATCGTGAGTCATTACGGGCCGGCGGTGGTTTATAATACACTGCACACTCAGGGCACTATAAATCCGATGTGTATGTACATTGTACATACACTGTAGTGTAAGTGAACCAGTATGGGCCGTGATACCTAATAGTGCCTAATAGATGGTACGGGGACCCGCAGTTGCTACTGTACACGAGCCCCAACCTAAATCTAGTTAGCCCTCTGTCCTATCCAGTAACAACCGATAACATTGATATCGACTGCCGGTCCCTGTACAAGAGCAGCTGAGGTTTTCTGTGCGTGCCCTCTGACAGCTTATCGTTGTTCCCTGTGAGGGTGCTGGGACAATTTACTCAGGGTCGCTGTACACTGTACCTACATACAGTAGCAACTGCGGGTCCCCGTACCACTACGACGACCGACGCTTGGCTTCAGCTGCGTCGAGAGGCAGACGTCCTCAGTAACAAGCGCTGGCGTCGACTACATTTTCTTTTAACTTCGCGATGACTTATCTGCAGCCAGATTATCTATCCGTATGGATCCTAGCGGACCTTTGTAACCGCCACAGGGAGCACTGGGTCACCGCTGCGGTGATCGGCAGCTGAACGCTTCTGACTTGAGTACGCTTTTGTCATTTGTGTGTTCCTGTGTGTGTTTTTTTTTTTTTTTTTTTGGCTGTCATGCTAAGTTCGTACTGAACAATGCTGCCCGTGTACTCTTTTCTGGGGCCACGATCTCGGAACCTAACCTTTCCGTTACAGAGAGGATGTAATCTCGAACCAAGCCTACCTTTCGTAACGCTAAAGTAAAATGCACATTGTACTCCCGATAACTATTCGGCCACTAGACGAACGGTGTTACCAGAACCTGAAATGGAACCTAGGATTTGGTTGATTCCTATGCTCTTCCTAACGTCTAGTATTAAACTGTCTTTTGTGCGCTATATATTTTCCCGGATCGTTTTTTGCATGAATCGAATTGGTTCAATTCGTCACGACTATAGTTAGCCTCCACCATGCCTCTACTTTATTTTTGTTTTTGTCACTATTAGTTATTTATCGTTCCAGTAGATTTTCCGTTCTCATTTCCCTAATTTCTGCCAAACTGCACAAAACAGAGCGCTTACTTCATTCACACTTCATTCACCATAACACTGGAGCTTGAGAAAAACTTCCATACCAGGAAATAGTTTAAATTAACCAAGCATCATCATCAGTGGAAATATGAAGGTCGGCTCGATGCAGGCACTTACATGCATATGTTTTACATACCTACCTGTTCTGCTGCTGTTGTTGCTGCTCCCCGGGTCCTCCTACGGAGCAGTGGCGGATCCAGGGTAGGGCAAAAAGGACAATTGCCCCTCCGCCCCCCCATCCCTGGGCCCAATCTTACCAATGCCGTAAATAGGATTTGGCAGCACTGGCCGGAGTTTACGGCACTGATATCAAAGATATCCCTGTTATTTATATGTACCTAGCTAATTTTGTCCAATGATCTTGATAGCGTGAATGATTATGAACGTTGCCTGAACGAATGAATAAGAGAATGTAGAATAGTTCTGAATATTACCAAATGTCGTGAATGTGAATGTTTTCGGGATTTCGGGGTTGTTTTGTAACGGACTCGGAGAACGGACACATTCTCCGAGTCCGTTAGTACTCGGAGCGAGCGAGTACTAACGGAGTACTCGCTCGCTCCGTTAGTCGCCCCAAAAGGCGTTATACTGGTTACGGAGCGAGCGAAGCGAGCGTAGTCTTTCCTTAAATTAACGGAACTTTCTGAGTATGAGCGGCCCCGGTGGTCACGATTCTGCGACGCTTATATTTCAGCAACCACTTGACCGATTTACACGCGGTAATTTTTGTAGGGAAGCTTCATTCCTTCTACCAAGTATTGGACTATTCCCGATGCATGTGGGTGCCCCCTTATGCACGTGCCACGTGCAAAACGAAGAGGTATCACTTTTGTAATTGTTGCAATATCTCGGTAACTACTTAACCGATTGCGCTGAAAGTTGGCATGTAGGTGTACCCACAAGGCAATGCATATCCATGTGCCAGAATTGGGGTGCTGCTGCACGTGCGCACGTGCAGGGGTCGATTCCAGATCTCGAGAACGGCTGGACCGATGGGGCGCTCAAATTTGGCACGTGG